TTCAAAAATGCTTTCCCAAGTTACATTAGAGTTTCATAGATGTCTGTACATTTCTGTGACCCTTTGAAATCACTATTTTTCATCCATCCCAAACCCAGGCTCTGTGACAGCAGTTTCTAGATCTAGAAACTTGCAGAACAGGCATATTTCACACAGGGGATAACACCAGGGCACATTTACCCCAACTGTACCAAGTCAGGGGAAATTTACTAGGAAAATGGGTCCCAGTAAAGGAAGGCTGATCTGTTTTCTTGGAAGTACCCTGCTCAGAGCGAGGAGTAGTAAAAAGCCTGTCCAGCCAGAGATAGACAGGCTGATCCACTATGAGGACAGAGGTCTGAAGTGATGACAAGCTCAATCTGAGCACCCTTTAGTGCTTTATATAATTACTACTATGTGAGTAACTGTCATACAAGGTAAAGATGTGGTCATAGATATTCAGGAAAACGCTGCCAGGGGTCCTCAAACTTTTTAAAGTGGGGGCCAGATCACGGTCCCTCAGAGAGCTGGAGGGCCGGACTATATGAACTACTAATTCCTACTGTAACACCTCGGCTACACTCACTGCCCAAAAAACCTGGCGGGCCGGATCAGACTCCTCTGCGGGCCACATGTGGCCCGCGGGCCGTAGTTTGAAGACGCCTGCGTGTAGACACACAAAGAAGAGAACATGGCCAGGGGCATGAGAGAGAGCTCCATGGAAATGGAGGCAGATTATCTGAGGGGAAGATTCTGTCCTTCATTCGACAACTTACTGAATGCCCACCTACGCTGTACCTTAACATGGTCTCATAGTAGATTCAAATAAATCTGCTTTCAAATTCTAGAACAAGTCCTCACTAACTATGTAGTCTTAGGCACATAACTAAGCCTCTGTGCCTCCGTTTTTCCATTTGCAAACTGAAAATACTAATGTCTGCCTCAAATAGTTTTTGAAGTTCAACAGGGAACGGACCATATGAAAAGCCTAGCACAGTATCAGGCCGATAGACAGAAAGCCTTCCCTATCCCAAGAGCTTCACTTTTCTCCATGTTAAATCTCAGAGGAAGACAGTGGTGGGTGGGTGGGTGGGAAGAGATCAACCAAAGAACTTGTATGCATATATGCATAATCCTTGGACACAGACAATAGGGTGGTGGAGGCCTGGGGCGGGGGGGTGGGGGGGAGACAGCTATAAGGGGTCAATGGGAGACAAAAGGGGACATATGTAATATGTTCAACAATAAAGATTTTAAAAAATAAAGATAGATAGGTCATACATACATACATACATACATAGGTACCTAGATACATAGATGGGTAGATAGATAGACAGAGAAGGCCCAGCTACAGTTCCCTCCTGGCCCTGAGGTATTCGGCCAGAGAAGGGGAAAGTGGAGGCTTTCCTAGTTCAGTTCGTCTTATATGGTAAGATAGCTTTGCCAAATGGAAGAGACTGGAATGGTGAACTAGAATTTCTTGAAAGACATGTTTGAGGGGAAGCGCGGGGCGGGGGGGTGGGTGGTTGAGGGAGGGTAAGACAGGTAAGGAGAATTAGTTTAAATGTGAGCTTCGCCACTTTGGAATAGGATGATCGATTTTCTTCTCCGAAGGGAGAAGCAAACGAGTTACCAAATTTGAGAACAATTTCTCTGGGAGAAAATCCACCTCTGCTCTTTCCCACACCCTGCCCTTATTATTTGGCTTTGCAAGCATCCCCACAATGTGTGATTTCAAATTCAGTTTATAGCTCCCTTAGCCCAGTCTCCCGCTATTACACCACGTTATGTGCTTCTTTGGGGCTGAGATTCTAAAACGTGGGTCCAATGTTCCATTGAGTTAACAACTTGAGAAGATCAGTAACACTCCGGCAACACTTCCCATCTTCACAGACATCTCTTCTCCACTGAGAAGATGGGTGGAGTATCCATAGTATCCAAACCCAAAGCTATTTAATCACTGTCTGATGGGGGGAGTGAGGCAAAATGCAAGGCCAACAGAAAAGTGCATTACATTGTAAATTTGCTGATTCAAGCTTTATAAAAAAAATTCTTTGAACCTGCAGGCAGAACTCATGCTACAAAATTCCAGCTTTTTAAGGAAAACAGCCAAAATAAAAATCTCTAAGCAACATTTATGGGTGGGTTTAACCCTTGATAATTTTTGGGGTGCCTTTTAATACCTTGTTTCATTTGATTTTCATTCAAACTTACGAGAAGAAAAGAGATTATTATCCCCATATTCTAGACAAGCTTTTTGTGTGCGGTGAAAATAATCTGTTTACCTTTAGAATCACTAACGTTTGTGCTGGGACTAGACCCCTAGACCTCCGGCTCCAGGTCGAAGGCTTCTAGGAAAGGAAGGACGAAGGGAACAGGTGGGAGTGCATGGGTCCCTTCCGTTTTCGGTACAGCAGCCCTATTAGTATAGGACTCTGAGCTTCCATGTGGATTTCCACAGTTCAGTTTCTTTATAACTTCATCACACAGAGCATGCAGCATCTCCTTTATTGTTCACTAGAGGCCCAGTGTATGAAATTTGTGCACTGGGGAGGAGGGATGTTGGGGGGGGAGTAGTTTCCTCTCACCCAGCCTGTGCCCTCTCCAATCCAGGACTCCTTGGAGGACGTTTGACTGCCAGTTTAGGTCCGATCCTTGGGCTTGCCTGCCAGCCTGATCGCCCCTAACTGCCCCCCTCCACCCGCTGGCCTGGTCAGCCCATGCAGCCTGCTGTTCAGTTCTTTGGTCATCCCTCACTAACCCTCCTGCCAGCCTGGTCATAGGCAACCATCTTGTGAGGGTGTGAGGGTTAATTTGCATATTAATCCTCACACCTCTGTATTATATGGGATGACCTGCTAGATTGTGAGTTGCATTTTGAAACTGCATTCAGCAGTACTGCAAGGCTGCATACATGGGAGGTTGTGGGTACATGCTATAATCTCTCCTCCTTGTCTGGCCCCCAACATTCCATTTTTAACACTAACTAGCTGTTCTAGTCAATGGAACCCACTAATGGCCTTTCTATGGACCAAATTTCTCTTGGCTCACTTTTATTCTATGTGAGTCATACTAATTATATTTCCTTGTTTAAGACGAGTCATTTTCACCTTTGCAGGTCTGTTTGATACGTCAGGGAGCACACACACAGGATTGTGGGTTTCTCGCAGAGGGGTGCTGTCTTGTTACTGTTCTACCCAGCATGCTCCCAGAATAGTTGAAGATATAAGCAGTTGTTCTTCAGCGCCCTTATTCTTTCTCTATTTTACACTCCCCCATTCCTTTAGGAGAAGGTCTTTGTACATCTTGTCTATCTTTTTTTCTTCTCTAAGTCTTCATTTTTTTCTCTCTTTAATCTTTCTGTCAGCATGAAATACCAAAGGTAATTGCCCTGTATCTTAATAAAATAAAATAAAATAAAATAAAATAAAATAAAATAAATCCACTACTTCAGAAGAGAAATTAAGCAAGACAAATATCTAGTACTGAGTGACTACATTTTTAAAAGCCCCTTTAAGTCCAGAATCATCACAAGTCTTCAGATGCTTTATCTATAATCACTTTTTTTTAATAAGCACTCTTTGAAAATTCCTTTCTCTTTCTCATCCTTCAAAGCTCAGCTCAGATGTTACTTTCTGCAAATTCTTTACTGATATTCCGAGGCAGATTCCATCCTTCTGGAGTCTCCCACAGAAATCTGGACACACAGTCCCTATAGCACTTCCCACATTATGTTGCCTGCAATTAAGCGTTTATGAGTCTGTGCCTCATACTAAATTAAGAATTGGGGTTTGTTTGTTTTGTGTTGTGTTATCTTTCTGTCTCTCACAGCTCATATACAGCCTTGTCTGGTATATAGATATAGATGCACCATTTTCTTGTTGTTGAATGTTGATTTAATTAATTAGATGATCACTCTAGATTCAAGAAAAAAAGCTCACCCTTTCTCAGTTTTATTTTAAATATATTTTATTGATTTTTTTTTTTTTTTTTTTTAGAGAGAGAGGGATGGACAGAAACATCGATGAGTGAGAAACATTGATCAGCTGCCTCCTGCACACCTCCTATTGGGGTTGTGCCCGCAACCAAGGTACATGCCCTTGACTGGAATTGAACCTGGGACCTTTCAGTTCGCAGGATGATGCTCTAGCCACTGAGCCAAACCAGTTAGGTCCCTTTTTCAGTTTTTATCTTATTTTTGGAATGGGGTTATTTTCTACGATGCACTGAAATTTGAAGTGTACTTCCTGGCTGTCTTATGAGTTGTGTGGATTTGGTGACAAATTTGAGGATCTTAACCTAGAAGTTGTTCTATGGGGAAAATTTTTATTTTTTAATATCTTCAAACATACTGGAAAGAATAAAATGCAGTTTTGTTCATAACTAGAAGGCCTTTTCCTTTTCCTGAAGTCTGCCCTTACTCCTGCCCCAGAGTTTCACCCCGCTTTAGAATTTATCTCATTCTCTCCACTCTACCATAGTTTACAGTTTGGTTTTCTGTTGTGTCCCTTGCAAATACCTTGAATCCATCAGTCGCATATTATTTCCTGCTCAACCTACTTCTCAGAGGATACACGCTATTTTTCATTGTTGTTTGTCACATTGGCATCTCAAAGCACAGCATGCATACATACTTAAGAAATGGTGAGTTAAACTTGTTTTCTGCACAGTTAAAAATTCAATAATTCAACGTAGAGGGAAGTTGGTGTTTGATGAGATGGGAGATATTTCACTTTCAAGTTGGAACAGCTCCTAGTTTTCCATCATTTGCCATCTGAGTTCAAAATGTCCAAATTTCAAGCTTCCTAGTCTCTCTTCTCTCACTTTTCCATCTTCTATTCTTTTCTCCAGGGAGAGTGAGAAGTGATATAATTATGCCAATAAAACATCCTTTTTCACCTTTACTGTTCTTGCCTGGGTACGTCATTTTGAGATATCAATTATTCAACCCTCTAAAGAGGTCTTCTGAGCACAAAGTGTTCTAGTCGACCGGTGTTGAAAGCATTGCTTTCTGCTTCTAGGCTACAGCGGTGGCTGTGTTGTCATGCGAGGACGGAGTCCACCTGGCCGCTGGGAAGTGAAGGACTGCACGCACTTTAAAGCAATGTCCCTGTGCAAACAGCCAGTGGAAAGCCGGGAGAAGACTGAGCATGAAGAGAGATGGCCCTTTCACCCCTGCTTATTAAGCTGGGAGTCCGAGCCGGGCCTGGCCAGCTGCTTCAAGGTGAGGTCAGGGTCACATGGCCATTCTCAACTGGACCAACATTATTTCAACTTTGTCCATGTATTCCAAATCCTTTACTCCAGAACAGTGTCTGGCATGCAGAGGTACTTGATTAATATTTGTCAACTGTCTCTATCATTTCAGTCGTAGTCCAAAATAATTTTTAAAGACATATCCCTGGTGGCACTGCCATCCTCCTCAATAAGGATTGATATTGGGTTTCCAGTTACTATTGCTCTGGGTATGAAAATGATGTAATTCATATCATGTGTAAACAAATTAATAAAGTCCGTATTACAGAATAGTATACTACCTTTCTCCTGCTAAGGGTAGCTTTTGCAGCTTGCCAGACACCTAAAGATAAAACACATTAATACACACAGTTGATATGTATGTATGTGTATGTATATAAATGTTGAAATGTCTTTTTGTAAAGCAGCTTTAGATCTTAGATTTAAATCAGCACCTACAATCTTCTTGTCAGAAATATGTATTTTTTGAGATATGATGTTTTTGTTTGATAGTTTTGTCTTTGGTTCATTTTATAAATAGAGATTTCCAAAATCATGGGAGAAAGTTCTTTTCTAGTATGTGGGCATATGCAAAGCAGAATGAAGATGGCCTCTCTCTCTAGAGATAATGCATATCTATAGATGGCCTGAAATACCTGTGAATGCACTCAATGTAAATATCCATGTGTATAGTCCTACATTGCTTTCATGCAATAAGCCTAGATGTGACCTCACAGAGCAATAAGTTGAACCTTAGAAAGGAGTAAGCTGGCACTAGCAGGATGAAGTGATTTATCCAAGATCACAACTATTTATTGACAGAGTTGGAATAAATTCTTGATCTCGGAACTCCTTTTTCTACTATACATTACCCTAACACATCAGCAAATGCCAGGTGTGTTTGATGGGTATGATGGTAGGATTTAATAATTTAAAGTGAGTTGAGAAAAAGTTCCCAAAGGAGGTGAGTTTTGACATATAATTTAGAGGATGGAAAGGCTGTGCTATGGTCCACAGGACTGGGATACCTATTCCTTCTGCTCTCGGCAGATCAGAGCCTCGTGAAGCCTGGCACCAGAGGCTCAGGCTTAGTGCTGAGCAGTTAAAAATGAGGAGGTTGCAGAGGCACTGGATTCAGAGCTCCGGTCTTGGGTCCCTCATCGTTGATCTTAAATAAAATCAAAAGCAGACCCTCCATGTGACTGACTTCTTCCTGTTACTGTGAGGATTGCTTAAAAAAAAAAAAAATAGGACAGTTGAGAAACAGCAGAGAATTTAGGCACAACTCAGAGCCAAAGACCCTAGAATTAGACCTGCCCTAGGTCCCAGGACTAATTTTTCATTTCTTGCCATGCATCAGCCAGATGCATGATCATTCAGCCAATTCTAATTTGTCAGAAGGCAATCTGGAGGGACAGAAATCCGTGGGCTCTGGAAGCAGGAAGTATTGGGTCTAATCCTCGCTCTGCCTGTTTGTAGCTGTGTGACCTGAAATTTGTAATCTGTTTTAGTCTGACTCTCCTCATCGCTGAACAAACACTTATTAAGGGACAAGTCACAGGAAATTTAGGAGAAAAAAAAGAATCCTCAAGCAGCTCATTGATAAAAACAGGTTATTATATACTCATAAAGTTGTTGTGAGAATAAAATGAGATAATAGTTTTACAACAGACACATTCTAATTCAATAAATGCTATTTCTTCCTACTTGCTCAAGCTTTAACAAAGAATAATGACAATTAAATTACTATTATTTTCGTGTCCAGAGTCAAATAGTCTTACAGTGTCAACTCTATTTTCTTTTACTATACAGGTATTTCATAGTGAAAAGGTATTGATGAAAAGAACATGGAGAGAAGCTGAAGCATTTTGTGAAGAATTTGGAGCTCATCTTGCAAGCTTTGCCCATATCGAGGAAGAGAATTTTGTGAATGAGCTTTTACATTCAAAATTTAATCGGTAAATACTTGTTAATTTTCGAAAATTACAGTCAAATGTTCTGTCCCCCAGTACTTCGGAATGAGTATCCCTAATATTTGTTTAAGATCTCAAATATTTGTTTTAAGCCTTAAACCCATTAGCTTCAGGTTATGAAAGAAAAACATAAACATATAATTTTATAAATATATTGCACCAAGTTCTCATTCCATAAAACAAAGAACATAAAGTGACATTGTTTTGATATTTGAAATCTCTTCTGTGCCTAAAATCAGAATTTTGGAACTTTTCTGCCGAACTCAGAAATTATCTAGCGCAGTGATTTTCAAAGTGCTGACTGAGGGGCAGGAAGGGGCCTAGTAGGCAGAGCTCCTGGTTCCTTGCTCACTGACTCACTAGCAGCTCCAACCAGCTCCTCTTCTAGTTATTTTGTATATAATCAAAGTCCACGTAAGATTTTGTTTTAAAAAAATCAAACTACCACTAATTAAAAGAAAAAAATTCTAATCCAACCCTTATTTTACATGTTCTCTTATCTTCATCCATCTTGCAAATTTATAGAATCTTTGAATTCCATAAAATTAGAAAGTTGATTACTTTTAAATGGGAAGAAAGCATACGTGATCTTGAGCTACCTTCCACCCACAGGCAGGAATTTCTTCTCCTCCATCCCTGGGGCCATGCACTGTCTGCATGATGCCTGTCAGTTTCAGAGTGGTCCTACTTGGGAGAAGGAAAGCCTGTTCCACTGTTAAAGGCTGGTTTCCTTCTTTTCTTTTATTAAATTGAATTTATTGGGGTGACATCAGTTAATAAAATTATACAGATTTCAGGTATACAATTCTACAATACATCATCTGTATACTGTGCCTTCACCACCCCAAGCCGAGTCTCCTTCCATCACCATTTATTCCCCTCTAAAAGGTTGGTTTCAATGATCAACCTTCTAGTAAGCCAGAGCAACACAGATCAAGTCTAACCTACTTTCAAATATTTAAAGGCAGCCACCGTGTCCTCTTTTAGTGAGTCTTCCCAGCTCTTGGCCTCTTTATCTAGAATGTTCTTGTCAGTTCAGAACACATGTTGGGCATGTCTTCTATAAAAAGGTCACTGTTTTATGCACAGCAGACTTGAGAATCTAATAGGCATGTCAGACAAAAATCTGCCCCCAAGGATGTTGTGGACTAAGCGGGGGTCAGGCCTCCATGGCTCCATCCATTTACTTAATGAGAACAAGTTAACACCAGCTACTCTGCTCCAAGCTCTGGAAATCTGGAGTGTCTATGAAACACTTGCCTGAGTCACAGAGAAACTCCAGAACTGTTTGTTGAGGAACACCCTAGCCTTGCCCTAAGTTTCCTTTGGGGCAATCCCATAAGACAGTAGTTTTCAGCCACAGCACACTAGTTTAGAATTTTAAAAATATGCAATACCTGACTAGTCAGGGGCACTGACCTCTTTGCTCTTAGATTGTCACATTTAAAAATGACAACAGCCAACACAATAGCTATTCAGTGTGAAGGAGCAAAAGTTGTATTTATTTTTTGTTAGATCGGCAAAAATATTTTTTTTGGTGTGCCACAGAATTTTAGTAACTAGTTTATGTTTGGCAGGAGATGAAAAGTATTGAAAATCACTGCCCTAGGAAGGTTAAGAGGTAATACCTAACAAATTATTCATTTCCAAAACCTAAAAATGGCCTTAAAAGTAGGAGACTGACACTCTCCTCAGGGTGTGTGCTATAGAGTACTATGGGGAGGGGAGGAGGCCGATCTTGTGGTTAAATATGCTTGCAAAGCAAAGTACAATCTTGGAAATTTGCCATGTACATTAATATTGTAAGAGCTTTTAGACGGAAGCACTTCCTCTGACCACAAAACTATTGGTGTGTATTTTTAAAACACTTATCAACATCCCATAGAATTCCTAGCCTCTGCACTGCAGGAAACGCGGACCTGAGACCAGGATTCCCAAACCTGCTGATTATCACACTCTCTGGGACACCTTTAAACACAGAGCCCTCTGGTCTCACGCCAGAGCTGCTGAATCAGATTCTCTGAGGTTGAAGAAAAGTTCAAGAAACTGCCTAGTGAACTGAATTGTTAGCCAGGGGTGGGGGCCACAGATCCAAAGGATATGTGATGGTTTTCGCTGTTCTACATTGCAACTTTGCTTCATGACTTTAGCCAATTGCAAATTCATATACATATGCATACACAGTGAGTTTTGCTGTATGAAACAGCCACATGTTAACTGCTTCCATGTTTGCTGTAAGATCAAATATCATTTCTATTTACATAAGTTCTCACACTTGGAATTTCTAGATGAATTTAGTGCCACGCACCTATCAAGTTATTGATTTTCAGCATCTAATCACAAAAGCTATGTAATATGTGTTTTACTTTTTCCCTGACTTCCAAGTTTTCATAGTTAGCATGAACTAGCATTCTTCTCCTTCCCGGGGCACTGCTTTTCTGTTAGTATTTTATTTTTATATTATTATATGACATTATTAGAAATTATACCAGTTTAGCTAAAACCGGTTTGGCTCAGTGGGTAGAGCGTCAATCTGCGGACTGAAAGGTCCCAGGTTCGATTCCGGTCAAGGGCATGTACCTTGGTTGTGGGCACATCCCCAGTAGGGGGTGTGCAAGAGGCAGCTGATCAATGATTCTCTCTCATCGATGTTTCTAACTCTCTATCCCTCTCTCTTCCTCTCTGTAAATAATCAATAAAATATGTCTTTAAAAAAAAAGAAATTATACCAGTTTAGAAATTGATGGAGAGAAAATAAATACCAGTTCTAGGAGTCAGTATATAGCAGAAATATTGTAGAATGCTGAGTTCAGTGAGGAAAGGAATAAAATGTTCTCCATAGAGGGAGGGTAGTGTGGACTTCCAACCTAGGACTTAGAGATTATTATGTTTTTCCATTTTTAAGACTCTATTTTTTTTTTCTAAAATTGTTAGACTGAAATCGAGGAGAGTCTTATACATGGAAGTCAGCCGAGGAGAGAGCCACTTGCTTGCTTGAGGCCTCTGGGGCGTGACATGTTTGTCCTCCGCCTTATAGGAAGGAAGATGGTTCTCTGTGGGGCTTCTCACCACGTCTAACCCGGTGGTGACTGCTGACGCTAACCCACCATGCCTCAGGCTGATTCGCTGTGGAAACATTTCTGTTGGGATCTGAACAAAAACCCCAAACATGCCGTGTGCCTTTTATTAAACAGGAGTGCTGGCGATGAACCTGCAGAGAATGCATGAGCGTGTGACAAAAGAGCCACAAATCAAAGCATCTCCACGTATATAAATAGCACAGTATAGTGAAGTCCAAAATCTCTCACCAACTTGGCTTTCATGTGTTCCGGGCCTGGTTGATGGGTGTTGCCATTCCTAACGAACATGAGAAAGCCATGTTCTCAACAGGCACTGGCTTCTCCCCCAACTGCACATCACCGATGAGCACAGCACAAACCAAGAGAAACGGGAAGCAGAGGCTAAATCTTCTCTCAGCTCATTTCAGACCTCAGGTTTTGCACTGGGAGATGTTCTGTACATGTTTATTTGACTTGGCCAACCCTGCCCATGGCATCAGCTGCTTCCTGCCCGCATCAGTACAGACTTGAGCGTTTTTCATACTGCGGTGAATTCAAAGGGGAAGGCCAAGTGTCTATTTCTTCTCTTCGCAGGACAGAAGAAAGGCAGTTCTGGATCGGATTCAATAAAAGAAATCCCCTGAACGCTGGCTCTTGGGAGTGGTCTGATGGAACCCCTGTAAGTCTTTCTGACCCAGAGAAAAGGAAATGAATTAAAAGCAGGTGGCCCTGGAACCACTTGATAGAGCAAGCAAATGAACCTGGAAATAATGAGCCTGTTCCCCATGACTCAGGCCCAAACCAGAAACTACACCAGACCTTTGTGCCAGAAGAGTTATTTCAGGAATGCCTGGGAAACCTTGGCCAGCCAGCTAGCTCGGAGGCCAGATAGTTTTGTAGGAGCTTATCCTGAAAAGAACCAAAATCTCCAGAAAGGTCCTCACACCATCTACCGTGTGAAGAAGAGTCTCCAGCAAAGAAGCCACTGTTCTTTAACACTACCAGGCTTCCTATACCGCCCCCTCCCTCCTCCTTAGTATGTGAACGTTGGACCCTCATCCATTCCACAAGGAAAAGAACCAGTTTCATTTCATCTCCCTCTAAAAGAACAGAAATGCCAGTCTTAAAAATATCACCTCCTTCTCAGCCAGAGCGAGTCATTAGGAAAGAGAAAGAAAGATTTGCTTTTAGTCAGCCTCAGACTTGTAAAAACCTATGTGATAGAAAAGGGGAACTTACCACTACGTATTGTTTAGGTTCAATGAGGAATTTTTTTCTCAAGGGGATAGAGAAAAAAACAGAAGCAGTATCCCAGATTGAAACGGGTTCCATCTGAGGGCACATGCAGAATCAAGTTGTTCGCTGGGCCTGTGAAATGGGGAGGCTAGCCTGCAGTGAGCATTTGCTGCAGCTCCTGTTTATTGAGCTCTAACTCCCTTCTAAGTTCTGAGCTGAGTGCAGTCCTGCCTGCATGGTCTCATTCCATCCTTACAACTCAATGCACTGAGTACTGAAATGATTAAATAGTTTGCCTAAAGTAATACATATGAGAGCCAGAACTGGTACACGGTTTGCCTGCCTCCAAAGCCACAATATTACTAGTATGTTTCCTAGTTGGCAAAATATCAATAGCTAAACTTTGAAATAGTAAAGATCGAAATAGGAACTCTACGCCTGCAACAGAGAGAGCATTCAAATTTGTGTCAAGGAAGAGATCTGTGGAAAAGCTATGTGCTTACAGTGAGAAGAAAATAATAGGGCATGCTAGTTGAAAAAGTAAAGTTTCCACCCATGTGCTGCCTCGTTAAAAAGAGCATCAGGACCAGAGAGTGGGAAGAGATCTTAAAGATCACCCAGCCCCTCCCATCTGTTATGCTGATGAAGAAACAGAGGCCCAGAAAGCAGAAGGGGCATAAAAGGATTGATCTGACCCCAACCTGGTGTTAGGTGATTAATGTCATTATAGAATTAAAAACAGAACAGAACAACAGATCTCAGTGGTAGGGGCAGGAGTGCTGGGGAACAGGAAGAGATGTAAAAAGAATATATATGCATAACCCATGGACTCAGACAGTAGTATGGGGAAGGCCTCGGGTGGGGTGAGGATTGTGTGGAAGAGGGCAAAAAGGGATAAAATGAGAGATATCTGTAATACTGTCAACAATTAAAAAAAAAATTTAATGATGTGTGCTCCATAGAGGCTGAAAACACTCCATTTCATTTCACTAAAACAAACTCATCAGTAGTGAGAGAGGAATGGACAATTTGGTTCAGAATAAAGGAGACAAAGCTATGAAGCAGGGCTCTGAATTCCTCCTCAGTCCCCACTAGATAAAATGAATACTCAGCCTCATGCTGTTCTCTGAGTCGGAGCTCATGTAGATTGAAGTTAAATTTCATGACTGTGTCCATGTTTGAAGAGTTCACATGATTTCAAAGCATCCTTTTTCCCCCAAAAAATTTCACCCTAATTTTACTTGTGGTCCATGCACTCCTACCAGATAGTCATTAAATCGTTGAGAGTGTTGAGTCTTTATTGAATACCCCTGTTGGGTGATAACTCGTGGAAAGTGTTGGATAGTTTCCTGATTTAAGCTAGTGGTGACTTAGAATTTAGTGATTAGAAACTAAAAGCTTAGTGTCTGTACAAAAACAATCCACACCAAAGGTGAGACTCAGATTCTACAAGTACCTGAGCCGTGGACCCCACGGTAGCTAGCCTAATCCTGCTAGTGAGGAAATAGTGCAAGTTTGGAAAGAAGCATGCATCTGCTTTGCTCATCTGGAGAAAAGAGTAGCATGCCTCTTTTTAAGAAAAGACCATCCTTAGGGAAAATTTCTAAAATTTGATTCACTGGTTCTTCCCAAATGGGGATAACCTTTATCTGGAATCATATCCAGACCTTTCTAGAGCTTCTCCCAGAAGTCTTTCACGGCTTCTTTACAAGGGTGCCCTTATGACCTTTTGAAACTTTTTTTGTGGGGGAATCGTCATTAAGGAATAATGAACTTCATCTGCTGCAGGTTGTCTCTTCATTTTTAGACAATACTTATTTTGGAGATAATACAAGAAATTGTGCTGTTTATAAAGCAAATAAAACATTGCTGCCCTCGCACTGTGGTTCCAAGCGTGAATGGATATGCAAAATTCCAAGAGGTAAAAATATTAATGAGATCTTGACTATATGTTTGCTTTTTTAAAACCTATAGCATTTTCCCAAGTGAAGAGTTATAGGGATCTAACGCAAGTATCTTGAATCACAGCCAGTAGCCTTCATGATGAACCAAACTGCACTATTTTAGCAAAGACTGAATCAAAGGGAAATTTTTTTTAAAAATGACACTAGTGCAGTATGCTAAGTTAGTTAATAGGAAGTGAGGATAACTGACTATATCGTATTGTGTTTTGCCAGTACAATCTGGAAGAATGTTATGGTAACATTACAATCAAACAAAATTACTTGTCAAATGAGTGAGTGAAAGCACCTAGAATAGTGTGTGACACACAGTAGGCCCTCAGCAAGTGTTCCCATCCTCCCACCTGTAAGCAGAGCCTCCTCCTCAAGTAAGGAACTAACCATATTTCAAATAGCACAACGTACTTGGTTTTTAAATGGTCTTTCAAAAGACAAAGTACAAAATATTGTGTTTAGAGCTAAAATAAGTCAGAGGTAGCACATCTGTGAAGAGTGGTTACTCAGGGTGGTTTGCTTTCACTTTACAGATGTGAAACCCAAGATTCCTCCCTGGTACCAGTACGGTAAGAACTATCCTGGCAGTTCTTGAACTTCAAATTATGTGCTATTATATACCATTGTTGTATTATTACAGTTCAGCAGTTGAGCCTCTTTTCTTACATCAATCTAGAACTAATTTGTTCAAATTAACAAATAATCAGTAAATAATCAAATTGATAAATGTTATTAAATATGATTAATGACCAATATCATAGCTTAACTCCACTTTGAGTACCCGTGATTTTGAAATATGCATCTATCCCAGACCTTTGAATACAAATGAGGGTTTCTTATATGAGACAGAACAAGGAAAGTGAGCAAGCTACATATTTATTTATATATGTTTAAATATATTTATTTAAACACACACAATTTTTTCAATGCTCAGTAACCAAGTTAAGAATTTGGGGTTCATTACAGCCTATTTTATTTAAGGCGGCACTATACTGGTCATTACTTTCTGCATTATTTGTGTTGTTTCTTTTTCTTTCAGATGAACCCTGGCTCTTTTATCAGGACGCAGAGTACCTTTTCCATGCCTATCCCTCCGAATGGTCCACCTTTGAGTTTATCTGTGGCTGGCTGGGTGGTGCTATCCTCACAATTCATTCTGCACATGAGCAAGAATTCATCCTCAGCAAAATAAGAGTGGTACTTGAATACATTTAACCATAAGAAATTTAGAGCTAGCTCCTTCTTCTGTCCTTGGGGAATTTTTTAAATTTGACTTCAGACACTTATTTAAGTTTCATTAAAAGCCATAGATTTTTGAGAATTGGGTTTTCTCTGTTATAGAGATAAAGAGAAAATAATGAAAACACAAGTTTACAATGTTCGTCAGTCATTTCACCCCTTTTATTCATTACTAGCAACAATAGTGAATGAGTAGAGTGTTATTGCTTTTATGAGGTTCATTCAATACATATTCAGAGTCTATTCTACTAGGGACAGAGGCTTTATCAGTGATTAAAATAGACCAAAACTCCTGCCTTTTTGGTCTAGTTTGGGGGAAAAGGCTATAATCAATACAAGTTAATAGAATCACACAGAGTTCTATAAAAAGATGAATGGATAAATGGCATGGAAGAAAATAAAACACAGATGTGGGACAAGGAGTATCTGGGATACGTGTGGCTATTTTAAAGTTACAACAGTACAATCCCAGCTAAGTGGTTCAGTTGGTTGGGAGTGTCATCCCATATGCCAAAAGGTTGCAGGTTCAATTCCCAGGCACAGCACATACCCAGTTCGCAGGACTGATCCCCAGTCAGAGTGCGTAAGGAAGAATGTTTCTCTCTCACATCAATGTTTCTCTCTTTCTCCTTTCCTCTCTTTAAAATCAATAAACATATCCTCATGTTGGGATTAAAAATGATAATAAAATAAAAACATTTTTTAAAAATTACAACAGTACACTATTTTTACTTACAAGAGGATAGTATTTTTAAGTTTGAAAAGTCACAATATACAGGAAATGGTAAGATGTGGTTTTCCATTTCAACTTAAGATAGAAAAAGACTACACTTACTCTTTTGAGGAGCTAAGCGAATTGAAAATCAGCCTATCACATTTTTATATTCTTTTATACAAAGAATATTAATGTCTTCTACTGTTGTGGTAGTATACGTATGCTAAAATTTAAAACAACCATTTTTTGGGTTGGATTTTTAGCTTGTCCTGTGAAGTTCTCTTCCATATCACAACAGGTTATGATAGGCCATGTGGAGGATCACTGTGCTATGACTGAGGTGGTAATAAACATGCCACTGAAGATGCAGTAGTTGCAATTTCTCTTTAAAGGTCCTTAATTGACGCAGTAAGCAATCAGGCCGAGATTTCCACAGTTGTTGCACATGAGACCTTTTTAGAGTGAATGAAAGTGTCATGGTTCTCCCCGCGAGCTCACAGCCAGTCTCAGTGGACCCATTCTGGAGCCTGACAATGGGATTCTAAATTCAGCATGGATGCACACGTCCATGAAACAACACTTCGGGGATACAAAATTATTGTCGCTCCATCTTGCTTGTTCTCAAATTGCTGATATGGCAGACAGCCACACTGTTTAAGGAGTAAAAATATCTGTTTATAAATGAGAATGTTAGAGAGATATGAGGTACTATTTTATAATGATCTGAAATTCACATGGAATATATATATATATGTCTTGACATGTATTCTCAAGTCTTTACAGAAGAAATGGACGTGCAAATTTAAATATATGCTTTCAAAATAAAGTTTTTAGCATATAAAATTGAGTTACATTTTACACACACAGCACACAAAACAATAATGTATATTGACTTAGAAGTCTCAGGGCAATCCTTACTGCCTCTTTTTCTTTTATAATTGAGAGGGAATTTCAATTTCCTGGGGCATAAGTCTAGTGTTACACCTGTTCTAATGTGTTCGTGTGTGCACGTGTACATGTGTGCGTGTGTTTGTATTTTATTGTACTGAGATCTGTGTGATAAATAATAGTGTAAGATTAATAAAAAAAAATATAAAGGATATTTCAGTTGTCAAACACTGGGAACTCTGTGGTATTCTTTTGTCCTATATTGTATCTCACTATGTGATTGAAGAGGGGAGGGTGCTAATACTCAGTTTGAAAGCTCCCCAGACTAATCCCTCAATTTCAAAATCTTTCCACTATTGATGTCTTTGTGCCTTGAATTTTTTTTCAAGTAGAGTGACATATACAATGAGCCTCTTTAAGCTCATAAATAAAAATTTCATCAATCACTGAGAAGATAAACCACTGAATTCTTAGTAAGAAAAATGAATTCACATTGTATTTTACTTTACCATATTACTTTTTAAATCCCTATTCTGAGAGAAAATTTACTTTTAAATACATAGGAAAAGTTGTCATTAAGATATTGCATGTTGTATGAATATTCAATATTTGATTACATTTTCCTTCAAAATGAGGAGGGAATATCTTAGAATAATGAAGGGACAGGTTTTCTCAAGATGATAGGCCTCAGTGTATTCTTCTTTAGATAATTGGGCAAATACTGGAGAATAGAAAGCTATTACCAGCAACCCCATTAATCTTACTAATGAAAAGGGAAAACAAGTAGAATAAATGCTGACATTTTCCTTTTTTCAAAAAATAGCTGTCAAAGTATGGTGTAAATTGGTGGATTGGACTTCAAGAAGAAAGAGCCAATGGTGAACTTCGGTATGGACTTAGATTAATTAGCACTTAATCTTGTTTGGCAGATTTTATTTACAGAATGATTGGGCTAGATCTTAGTGATCAATTTATTGAGTAGCCTCAAACATTATCTTTAGCTTATAAATTTTCATTTCCCTAACCCAACACACAAGTATTTCTTTTAATTTAATAAAATGTTATGCCTTCAGCCCTGATCAGGTGGTTCCATTGGTTGTTCTCCCATCCACTATGCAAGTTTTATTCCCAGTCAGGACACATATCTAGATTGTGGGTTCAATTCCCAGTCCAGATGCATATGAGAGGCAATGGATCAGTGTTTCTCTCTCACATCAATGTTTCTCTCTTTCTCTCTCTCTCACCTCCCTCTCTCTCTCTCTCTCTTTCTCTCTCAAAGTAATAAAAATATATCCTAGGTGAGGATATATATATATATATATATATATATATATATATATATATATAGAGAGAGAGAGAGAGAGAGAGAGAGAGAGAGAGAGAGAGCCTTCAATCCATACCCCCGTACTCCAAAAATGGTGTTGAAGATTGAAAATGCAGAATGAGAGAAGATGTTAAAATTTTTAATTTTCCTACAGCTGGAGAGATGGAGCACCAGTAATATATCAGAACTGGGACAAAGGAAGAGAAGGACCTAAGAATAACCACAGTCAGAGATGTGGCTTCATTTCATCCGTAACAGGTTATTTTATTCATCCATTTTTAGGTTTATAACACAGACTGATAATTTTCAGGAGGCATGACATCTCTTTCTCATTGCATAAGCTTGGTGAGGAAGTTTGGTTTGGTTGTTTTGCTTTTGAATTTAATGTGTTCAATTCCATTCATCTTAAGGCTTAAGAATGGCCATTCCCACAGGTTATTCCATGAACTCATGTTCTTGAAAGCAAGTTACATCCAGATAAGGCATTCCTCATGAACTAAATAAAAAAGCGTAAAAAATGAGTCCTTTGAAAGTGGGTCAAAAATGTGTGTGCCGAATACTGCTCTCTATGAAATTTCAGTATGAGCCCATTTTTTAACTTTTTTTTTAGTATCCAATTTATAATTGGCCAGATCTTTAACCTCTGAAAAATTTACTTCTAATTTCCCATTTAAGAAAAAATTTCATTGAATTCAGTATTCCTTTAAAACACACACACACACACACACACACACAAAACAAAAAAAAAAAAAAAAAAAACACTTGGTAAATGAACTAACAAAATAAAATCCAAAGCAGGGAGGCATGGAACAGACTGACATACCTTGCTGTGGGGAAATGAGAAGAGGTAAACCAAACAACATACCGTATATATTTATATGCATAGCCCATGGACACAGGCAATAGGGTAATGAAGACCTGGGTGAAGAGAGGAGGGGAGGAAAGGATGGTGGAAATGGGAGATATCTGTGATACTATCGATATCAACAATAAATAAAATAATTAAAATAAATAAATAGGAAAAAATACCTAGCATTAATTATTGCTTGCTTTAGAACACCAATTGTTTGCAAGTGGGATTTAGAAGCACATCTATGTTGAAGACTTTTTTTTTTTAAATTTCTACTCATCAGTACAGTGTTATTTGGATAGATTACCCACTTATATCCACCCCACTCTTTTTATCCAATAAAAAGTAATGATGTTCCCGACTCTAACAGATCCATAACAAACCTGTGCCCAAAGCCAGGAGTAGGATGAATATGGAAAGCAATCCTTGATGCTAGGGCATCTACAGAGAAAGTCAGGAAAAGCAAAACCATGTGGTGAAGTCAGCTCACTTTTGCCAGCAGGTGTCACAACAGCCTACAAGAAAGGCTGCTTTGTGATGCTGGAGGTATAGCAGCTAATCTGCATTTAAAATAGCCTTCCCGCCCCTCCTTCAAAATGCCAACATGTTTTTGGCTCATATCTCTCACATAGAAAACTGAATCTGTCCTTGCAATTTCCATGCATCCTTGCTCTGGATTCTGAAATTATAGCTTGAATGCTAATGAAATACATTCTATAATCTTCTCTGAAAATATAGCTCTTCTAAATTCAAAAATTAAAAATAAAATAAAAAAAGCTCTTCCAGGGGCTAAGGTCTTTGGGGATATGTCTCCTGTGGGCATGGTTAGATGTGAGCCTATTTTGTTTAAAGGTCAGTGTTAAGGAGTGCTCTTTTCTGAGAAGTTTGTGAGTTAATTTTTCTACATTATTATTTTTTCAAACAGATTATCAAGTAGAAATGGTCATCTATTATTTTAGAACATTTCTCTTTACATTTGAAGTTGAATATTTAAAATAAAGACTACAAAATATTATTTTCCCAATGAAGTCAAATACTCTTAGAACTTTAATCAGTTCTATGATTTCAACCACAGTATTTGTTTAGATATTTTTGCATTTGCATTATTGAATTAGAATTACTGATTTGCCCCTTGACCAATTAGTTTTGGTCACGAGAGAACTCTATGATTCATAGTTAAATTTAGTTCAGTTTCTAGATTTAAAAAACAACCTTTGATAAACTGAGGCAGTCATAAAAATACTCATCAATTAAAGAATGTTACCATTGCTTCCAGTCATTTCTAACCCATTTCCCCCTCCAGGACTCTGGGCTAGTGAAGAGTGTTCAGTTTCTATGCCCAGCATCTGTAAGCGAAAAAGGTTTTGGCCCGTAGAGAAAGAGAAAGATACACCAAAGCAGCACGGAATGTGTCCCAAAGGATGGCTGTATTTTAACTATAAGGTAAACTTATTTTCAAAAAGTTGCCTTTGTTGCTCTTTTGTAGATATCAATTCTTGAAAATAATCAAAAAGTGGGTGTGACTTTGAAAATTGGACCTGGAATATTTTTGTTACAACTTTCAAGAGATTTGAGAAGTTTTCCATTTAGGGATAACCCTCTCTAGACTAAGAAGTGTTGGTGAGAAACAGCCTTGATGCCACCCTTTGTTTGTTTATTCAGAGTTTGTATATTCCGTCATTCATTATGCTATACGCCAGTGTGACCTCTGCAAGTGTGTGTGTATGTATGTGTGTGTGTGTGTGTGTGTGTGTGTGTATACACGCACCTGTGTGTATGTGTAGATCTAGATCCTGCTCCCAATAAGTTGTCAACTTTCTTCAGGGGGCCCAGGCTCCATCATCTCCTTCTTGTGTCTTCCCTGCCTGGACATGTCCCTGCATAGAGCTTTGCTTGCCTAATGAATTGACCCACTAATAACATAGCTCAGACAATGTGATCTTGAGCCTCATAAAGCAGGTGTTTCCATGCAGAATTGAAAAAAAAATTTAATTGCTAGTGGGGATATTATAAACCAGATTTATTATTTCTGATATGACCTCAATTAAGGCTGAGACTTCCTCTCCACTCCTTACATTTTATAATAAAACTAGAGGCCCAGTGCACTAAAATTCGTGCACTGGAGGGTTGGGATGTCTCTCCTCCAACAGCTGCCACGAGAGCCTTCCTTCTCTCCCTGCTGCCACGATTGCCTTCCGCCTTCCATACCACCACCTTGACCCTCACAGCCACTGCCTCTTCCACGCTGGCCCTTGTAGCTGCCACCACTGCTGGCCCTCAGCCCTTGCAGTCACTGTGGATTTGTCTGGAAGGATGTCCATAGGACATCCAGAAGATGGCCAGTCTAATTAGCATACTTATTAGTATAGATAATTTTATAGGCCTTAGGTGAGAGTCATTAAAATGCATCCCAAATTATAAATTAACAGCCAATTGTTAATCTGTATGTTCAGTTGCATTGGCAGGGCATTCTCTCCTTTGTGATCTTCCTTTCATTGTTAATTTGTGAAATGGGGTCATTTGGATATTAAACATATCAATTGAGCACCCACTGATATTTTTAAATTGGAGTAAAATTCATGTCATGTAGAATTTACTATCTTCACCATTTTTATTTATTTTTATTTTTAAAATATATTTTATTTTATTTTTTTTACAGAGAGGAAGAGAGAGGGATAGAGAGTTAGAAACATCAATGAGAGAGAAACATTTATCAGCTGCCTCCTGCACACCCCCCAGTGGGGACGTGCCCTTGACCAAAATCAAACCTGGGACCCTTCAGTCAGCAGGCCAACACTATCCACTGAGCTAAACTGGTTAGAGCAATCTTCTCCATTTTTCAGTGCATAGTTTTTAAAGCCTAATTTATCTAATTTTTCTTTTTTGCATTTGATGACATATTTTTTCTTCTAAAAAAAACTCTTATTCTTAGGTTTTGATGCACTTATAGTTAATTTTTATAGCTGCTAGGGGTTTTTTTTGTTGTTTGTTTTTTGTGTGTTTTTTTTACTACTACTATAACAAGTGCATCCTGGCAGCGGTCTTAGAGAACAGGTACAAAGAAATACTTATCTTGTCTAAATATCACTTTTTTTTATATATATAGTCAGTGACCAACCCCAAAACATGAACACAACTGTTTTTGTTACTAACTCATAATTCCTCCCATGTATAAGAGAGGATGTTAATGGTAATTCAAATTCTTGGCATTGAAGAAATAAATTGCAATGGTTCATTTTGGTTCAGTCCTTGGCTATTATCTTTACACATTTTTATCCGCACAGCTTAGCTCTATTCCATGTTTCCACCTGTGTAGGAATAGGGAGTATGTAGACACATACGTGGGCCTGGTAGCACGACAGTGGAGTAGACCCAGAGCAAAGTGCAAGCAAGTTCTTCCTTAGAAATGAATAGAAAGGGGCATGAGCAAAGCACAGACCCAGACGTGAGAGCAGAAGGGCTTTCCAGAGCTGTCTGGAGCAGGGTTAAAACTCTTGCACGTAGCTCAGAATCCATTTAAAAAACAAACCAACAAAAGCCTTTATTGATAACTAACAGCTAGATTATGGATTCACACCCCTGATTATATATTTAGGCTCAGCAGGTGAGCTTTTACAAAATATCCAGGTGCAGGTGACACGCTAAAGAGTCTGATTTAATTGATCTGCATGGGATCCAGGCATCAGTATTTTAAAAAATCTTCCTTCGTTATTCTAACGTGTAGCCAACACTTGCCCAGCAATGCAACAGTCACAGCGTGTTCTTCCAATCATTTAAAGGATTTGACTACTAAGGAAACCATCACAGCAGGCTTCACAGGAAGGTAACCTTTTACAGAGCTTGAGTTCAAAGACCCTAAGTGTGCCTCCCCACCCACAGTGCCTTACCCTGCATATCAATGGCTAAAATCCCACCACAAGGGGCTTACTCACATTTGCCTTAACACTTTATTTTGTTTAAGAGAAATATTTCTGAGATTGACTCATCTGTCATCTACACTTTGGAATAAACGACTTTCTCAGATTATTAGAAAAGTTGATTGATAGCTGAGAGGAATGGAAAGCCCCGTGGCATGGTCCCCAGTTAATTTTTTTAAAGCTACTGAAGGAAAATTGGGAGACAGCAATAACAAGCATTGCTCACGTCACAGTTCTGAATGAGTTGTAAATATATTCTGTCCCATCAAACTTTATATTTTGTTTCTCATCTTCCTAGGATTAATTTCTATTGTTTATCTCTAAGGGGGAAAAAACAAAACACTTGGTTGATTAAGGGCCACCTTTTAGAGTTTTAAAACAGAAATAACAGAAGTTAAGCTCCTTTTCTAATGTTTACAAATGATTTCCTCTTTGTTTGATGGACTGAAAGAGGCTTGACCAGGATTACCCCTGGAAGAGTGGTTCATCTAAGAGACATGTCACAGCAGAACTGTAGGAGGAGGAAGAAATTCTGTGTGGAGTGTATTAGTGTGTGTGTGTGTGTGTGTGTGTGTGTGTTAGGTTAACTTTTGTGCTTCTACTCACACATTTTTATTCAAGGACCTGAATTGAGTGCTAATAGCAGTTTTGAGCATTCTAGTTTGGGATTAGCTAGTATTTTGTTTCATGCACAACATAGTCTTAAAAAACATTCCTCTTTTTTTTTAATGTATTCAAGTTCACAGCATTTTATTCATTCACGCATTCATTTAACTATATTGGATATTGGTAAGACAATGGTTAGGAAAAATATAAACAATCCCTTCTCTTTTGGAGTTTATAGATTTGAGGGAGAATAAACAGTAATGAATCAATCAGGTAAATAATGTATAATTTAAAGTTGTGACATATATGATGAGTAATTGTTACAAAGTTCTATAAAATGTATAATAGGAGGACCTGAGTGAAGTGGTGCAAAGGACAGGGGGCATTAAAAGTCGGGGGGACAGCATGTGCTAAGGTGCTGTGGTGAGAGGGAATGTAACATAGTTAAAAAATCAAAGGAAGCATAGAGATCCAGAATATGAGAGGGGAGACAAAAGAAGTAGGTAAGGGTTATATCGTCTTAGAGTTTCTGGTTTTTATTCTAAGAGCAATGGGAAATCCTTGATGGGCTTCAACTAAAGAAAGATATGATCAGGACTGAATTTGGAGAAGAATTACTCAAGCTACAGTGCCAATATACAATGGGAGAGGAATTAGAATGGAAAGGGCCGTTAGGAAGCTATAAAGTAGTCCAGGCAAGAGATTAATAGTAGCTTGAACTAAGATGATGGAGACAAAGAATGTGGGGCAGTGGGAATGGTGGGGAGCACTGAGAAATAGGATTTCCAAGTGATAGGATTGAAGGGATGATGGAGTGGGGAGAGTGAGGAGGACTCCAGGTTTAGGCTGGTGTAAATGCAACACTGACTGGGCCATTCAATGTCAGTCAACACACTGGGAAAGGACCGAGTTTGGCAAATGGAACATGAATTCTATTTTCAGATTTTGAGCTGGAAATGACTTTGAAACAAAAGAGAACTTTATGTTCAAAATTTGTTTGGAATAGAGGAGAATATCCTTAATTCACAGTCATAACCAGAGATCCATTCAACTTGACCACATCTTGTAAATTAGTAAGTAAATAAACAATTTAAAATTAAGGATGCTGTACTTATCCTGCTAGTCTGCTTTAATTATTAATGACACCATTTTGAAGTGTGTTAGTAAATATGTCATATTTTTAGAAACAATGAAGTACTGACAATGTGCCACAGTCAAGCTTGACTGAAACCAATGTTGGGGGAAGGAAGAAAGAAGAGGGGAGTGTGTGTGTGTGTGTGTGTGTGTGTGTGTGTGTGTGTGTGTTTTCTGGAGAGATTTATTGAGCTAACTGAACCTATGAGGTTCATTGGTATTTATGAATGGTTCATTAGTGTGACTATCTGAATAGAAGGTGAATTCACATTAAATGATAAGACTCCCTAATAATTAGTATGTGCCTCTCTTTGGAAGTTGTAATTAGAGGAAAGTGGGAAAATGAAGGAAATAGATAAAAAGGCAGTTGTTGTAAAATTAAAAACTTTTATAACCAATTATGTTTCTTTGTGAAGCAAACAGGGTAAAGGGAACCAGAATTGAAAATATACTTACTTCCTCTCTTAGTTGGTAACTCAACTTCAGGCTTTTTATACTAAGAACAGTGGGAAATCACTGAAGGGTTTGCACTAGAGTGACATGGTCAGACCTGAGTTCTGAAAAGAATTCCCGAGGCACCACTGACATTTCGGGCTAGAGGATTCCTTGTTCTGGGGGCTGACCTGTGTGTGCATTATAGAATGTTTAGCAGCCTCCCTGATCTCCACTCACTAGTTGCCTATAACAGTCCCCCTACTTTGAGATGTGACACCAAAAATGTCTCCAGATATTATCAAAATATCCCCTGAGGGACAAAGTGGCCCCATTTGATAACCACTGGACTAAATCTAGAATATCTCACAATGTCATTTGACAGCAATTTCAAATTCTATTGGGTTGTATTTCATTCCATACATATTAATTGGTGACCTTCTTTGTTGTGGTGTTCAAAGAGGGACAGCATTTAGTCTCTGCTTTTGAAGGAATTTATGACAAAGGGAGGAATGGGAGGCAGACAAATTTAGAAATTAAGGAAAAATGGGTTAGGATGTCATTCCAGAGGTGGATGGGAAAGGAAGCTCTCTCAAGGGAAGGCTTCCATGCTACCCTAAAATTAGCTTGTATTGTAGTTAAGATTTTTCTCAATGGCAAGATCTTGAAATCTGATCTATTAATAACTAGAGTTGTTTATGTTTATTGATGAGAGAATATCTCCATGGAGTACCCTTCACATAAAGTCTATCCGGACTTCTCTGGAATTTAGCCTGATCTGTTGTTATATCCTCTCTCTCCTTCTCCCTCTTTCTCTTCCTCTCCTTCCCCCCTGACCCCTGATTGACTCCATCTGGCCCTACTAACATGTTTAAATTTTACTGAGCTTTGGGAGTGGAAGCTTTTCTTCAACTCAGCCTGTCCTGCCTGGTAGTTACTGTTCCATTTCTCTTTCTGTAATGAGTAAACCCTGCTACACCCAGACAGATTCTCTCATGAGCAACAATCAGCTCTCACTGCTGAATCCCACAGCTTTCCTTCTCTGTCCAATTTAGCAATGTTGACCACCCTCCCTTTTGTGTCTTCTTCCTGGTTCCCTAGGGCAGGATCTAGCTTCTCTTCCCACGGGACTCATGTTTTGTGTTTTTTTGTTTTGTTTTGGTGTGTGTGTGTGTGTGTGTGTGTGTGTGTGTGTGTGTGTGTTTCTGGCTCTTTCTCTTGCACTTGCTGACCACATGCTGATTCCAAGTTCATAGTGAATTTAAGTACTGGAATCATTTCTGAGCAAAAAAATTATAAAAAATTTTTTCAAGGCTGATCTGCTGTGTCTTTGGGAAATGTTTAATTCATTATAAAAATATGGAAATGAACAGAAGTTTTGTTTTGTTTTAATTGACATGTTTTATAGTGCCTTTTGGTGAAAATCCCCAAAGGCCCAAGTGGTTGGAAGAACTGGACGTCCGCTCAAGATTTCTGTGTTGAAGAAGGGGGGACACTGGTCACCATTGAAGACGAGGTGGAGCAAGGTAGTCAAATTTTTATTTAAGTATTTAGTAAACTATTCCCTCAAAATACTAACCTTTCCAAATCAACATTTTCATGAATTTTCCAGTTTTACCTATAAAGTTTAGATCGTGACATCCATAAAAGTTCGTGCACTGCATTCCTTATAAACTGTTGGTCTGGAACCTTTTGTCTTACCAGTAGTAGTAAAGAGAATAAAGACATAGATCTGATCTGTATTTCAAAGGGCTAAAATAACCTGAGGTAAAGTCTATTGTAATTGCATGACATAATTTTTTAGATTCCTTTAGATTCACCTATGAACTTTTATTGGATACTCAGGCAATTATATACTTTAGTATAAATATAGCAAATAAATTCTATTTTGTTAAGAAAGGCATTGAATGAACATTGGAAATTGTTTTGTTAATAATATGATGAAATCCTGGGCTTCACCAGCTAATTTCTGTCAATTTAAACTGAAACAAAAGTGAAAGTCTGCATTATCTTAATAAGGACAAAATAACAAATTCTGACAATTGACTGATAATTAAGTCTTGATGTCATTTAAATAAAATTGTAGCTATAAACAGAATTGGCTGATTACCCAAATGGTTTATATAGTATTGAAATTTATAATGTATTCTTATTTTTCAGCTTTCATTACTATGAATCTTTATGGACAGACCACTGATGTGTGGATAGGGCTACAAAGTGATGATTATGAAAAATGGCTAAGTGGAAAGCCTGTGACATATTCTAACTGGTCTCCATTTGATATAATAAATGTAAGTTTTAAGATTTACTTTTTAGAAATTGGCAAAAGATTTTGCTCAAGACTTGTTTACTAAACTTTTTTTATACTTTATAGGCATAAATTTTTATTATTCAATTATTAATATATTGATTTTGATAATGCAACTATATAATTTTCACATGTTCTATAACTGTAATTACTTTACTCAGCATAAGAATTATTTATGTCTCAGGTTATGAAGTGACCTATGAACAGATTTATTAAATGCAAACAAAAGAAAAATGGTGTTTGAATTTTTAAAGTTATGTTCTTAATAAAAATGTCAGTGTTATGATAATGTTATACATTACCTTTAAGAAAAATCCATTCTTTTAGATTCCAAGTCAGAACGCTACTGAAGTTCAAAAGCACATTCCTCTCTGTGCTTTGCTGTCAAGTAATACTAATTTTCATTTCACTGGAAAATGGTATTTTGAAGACTGTGGAAAAGAAGGTTATGGGTTTGTTTGTGAGAAAATGCAGGGTAAGAAATATTTGCTTCTTTGTTCCTTTCATTTGTATGGTCCACTCTTCTTTTCCATTTTGTTGTTCCATTTTACAAGCTGTATAACGGACAGTCTCATAGCTAACAGTGCCAGGCACTGATTTTTTTATATTTACATATAAATAGTCATTTAATTTCTGCTAACCCAGGATTACGTCCTCTAGAAGGGTTCTACAGACTGCAAAAACTACATGAGTGATGGCCAAGTTTAGGCATGTATTTGGTCATACGAAAAGGTATTATTGCTTTGTTCTGGGATTATATGTCTGTTCAAGCAATTAAAAGAATTGCTAAATGCTGGAAAGAATCAAGGAGCCCTAGTTGGTTTGGCTTCGTGGATAGAGCATTGGCCTGCAGACTAAAGGGTCCCAGGTTCGATTCTTGTCAAGGACACATGCCTGGGTTGGAGGCTTGATCCCCAGTAGGGGGTGTGCAGGAGGCAGCCAATCAATGATTCTCGCTCATCATTGATGTTTCTATCTCTCTTCCTCTCCCTTTCTCTCTGAAATTAATAAAAATGTATGCTTTAAAAAAAGAATCAAGGGAAGAAACCAACTCAATATTTACTCCTGTCTTGGAATGCCCAAAACAGTCTTTGTAACGAAACATGGCATGCAGCATGCTTCTCAATCTGATGGTGACAACACCCAATGACTTGTGGTGTGAAGTAACAAAACCATACTACCACAAGAAGCCAATATGGTCCATGAACGGTGTGAATGCCCTGTATGTGAGGACAACAGCATAGCTCATAGCTCATGCTTTCACTGAGGGCTAGGCTTTCTGTACTGTGCAACCCTGGAAGGCCATGCTTTGGGTCTGGAACTGTGTGGAACTCTGGGCAACTATGCTTACTTGCAATAGGAATTATAGCTCTTACTGTTGCATACATGGGGACCCTTTAATGATGTTAAGTATTAACCTGTCCTTGGAAAAGCAGCTCCAGGGAAGCCCTGTTTCCTTGTTCACGGCTATCACTTAATCACAATTGTTGTTGGGAACTGAAAGAAATACCAGATCAGTTACAGCAAGAGTATTATGAGAAGAGCGGAGTCTTGCAGGGAAAGAAATAATTCCAATGTGCCTTTGCATATTTATGATGTATCTGGCCCTGTGCCTTGGCTTTATATGCATTGTGTCATAAAATCCTCATGACAAATCTAAGAGGTAGATAAAAGTCTCCCCATTTTACAAATGAGGATCTTGAGGATTAGAAAAGATAAGTAACACACTCAAATTAAATATAATTATTTTATTCCACGACCTTGAGGTTGATCTCCTCTAGAAATGTGCTCCTGACCACTTCCTCTCTTTGATATTTAGAGACGAACAATGTTGATGTTCTTTTGGAGGTAGTGCAGAGTAGTGGTTGGTGAGAGCGTGGGCACTGGAGCTCACACGCTCTGGGTTCCTATCCTACCTCTGTCAATAAATGGTCAGTCAAGTTTCTTTTCTTCTATGAACCTTGACTTCTATAAAATTGAATAATATCTATTTCACAGACTCTCTGTATATATGGGGTTTTATATGTTTAACAAATAGTGACTCTTTTTTATTGTTATTTCCAAACCATATTATTCAACTACTCAAATTCTTATAGTCTACAGTGATTACTCAAATTTTAATATGCACAAAAGAGTAAAATGTCTGAATAAAAGAGAGTCAGGGGCAAAATCATCACCCCCAATTTGGAACTTGGTGTCCACTGGACCTTTCTTTTTCACAGAAATAAGTGGCAAAATCATGTTGCTCAAAGTCACTTATGTTTTGAAACCTGATTGAATCAGCTACATAAGGAGAAATTTATATAGGTGAAAATACAGATGTACAACTTAGTGGGGGAACACAGTTAAGTGGGTGCTTGGGTCACATATACAAAAAATTGTTAACATTTAAAAATAGATATTTGGTTTTATATAAATAACCTTACACTTCATACATAGGCTAGCAAACAGACTTCTAGCAAAAAACAACAACAGATGATAAAAGTGTGGTCCATCTCAATTTACTTGGTTAGTTTCACTTGGTTTTACAACATGCATTGAGGTAACATTTTCAGGTAAAAGTTGAATTCCCATTTTGTCATTTTTATTTGGAAGATTGTGACTACAGGAGGAGAGGGGAGAAAGAAGCAACATTTATTGAGTGCCTACTACATCCCAGGTACCAGCGTAAGTGCTCCTCAATGAGTTCTACCCACAACCCTCTTAGGAGGTCTTTCTAACCTTACAGACTGGTGATGTGAGGTTTTGAGAGATTAACTAATTTCCCAAGGTTGCTTAGCCATGTAGGGTCAAGACTAGCGTTGAGTCACAGGTCTTCTGAACTATCCACACCTTACCATGCTGCTTTTCAAGCACAAATGGAGTGAAACCAGTATAAGAAGGAAATCCAAGCCACTTTGGATCAGAAACCCTTATCTTGTTTTTGTATTTTAAGTTCTCAAAATGTAGCCTATCAAGTACATAATATAAGACAGAACAAAAAAGCAGGCTCGATCCCTAGTGTAAGGCATGCAGGAGGCAGCTGATGGATGATTCTCTCTGATCATTGATGTTTTTCTCTTCCTCTCCCTCTCCCTCTCCCTCTTCCTCTCATTTTCCCTTTCCCTCTCACTCTCCCTCTCCCTCTCATTTTCCCTCTCCTTCTCACTCTCCCTCTCCCTTTCTTTCTGAAATCAATAAAAAATATTTTTAAAAGTAAATAAAATAAAATGATCTCTTCCTTAAAAAGATCTCAGAAGTAGAAAGCAGAACCACTGACTTTCAAAGAATCAAACTGTGACCTCCTGGCTCAACCACTGAGTCATGCCAGCTGGGCTGTATTTCTAAGTGTCAATTAATTTTTAAGCTTCTTTATAGAATGTAAGTACACAGGTAAATATTAAACATGATAATCATACAGTCTGAGAAGTTTAATAAAGTGTTATATTTGAGAATGCTCACTTGTAAATTATGTCTGCAGTGCAGAATATGATGACATGGCATATGCCAATATTTTCTTGTAAGTATTAAGTTCTGCCAGAGCACACATGTTAGCCGAGGAGAGCTAGCAAAAGGAAACTTACCTGAGTCACATGCATTCCACCAGGGTGGTCAGTTTGGCAAAGGTGGTCAAAATGGGAAACCTTCTAGAAATGACATTTACTATATGTTTATATTTTTTAAAGAAACTCATTCATTAAATGTCCTGTTTGAATTCTTTAGCATCACCTGTGCTTTCAGGTAGTGTCCTCGGTTTGATGTCATCAGTTCTGAGAAGAAAAGCGCTGCTGTTAACAGCAGCAGGGACCGTTGTGGCAGCTTCCCATGCTAAGCTTTGCCTCCCCCTGCCTCCTCCAGATGCTACAAATGATTTTTGTTGTTCTTGTTCTAGATACTTCTGGACACAGTGTAAATACATCTGATATGTATCCAATCCCCAACACCTTAGACTACGGAAACAGGACTTACAAAATAATCAGTGCAAATATGACCTGGTACACAGCAATCAGAGCCTGCCTGCTGCATGGAGCAGAACTGGTCAGCATTGCAGATCAGTATCACCAGTCCTTTCTCACTGTTATCCTCAGCCGGCTCGGACATGCCCACTGGATTGGACTCTTCACTGCAGATGTAGGTGTCCTAATTTCCCTTAGACAATCCTCACCTCGTTCCATTTCACATCTACTTCCTCAGTAGGCTGGCCACTGAGATTAGCACAGAAAAAAAAATCCCCAGAAATAATAGTAAATGAAACATTTAGGTAATTGGTTTATGCAGTAACTATCGATACTGACCAACCTTAAGAGCAGCCCATGACCACAATATATGGACACCTTCTTAGAGAAGTCACTTGTCTCATTTCTGGAAATTAATGCCCTTCAAAGGTCCTATGAAATTTTCTGAGAAATTTCACTGGAAGCACCTTTATTTGGGTAATTTGTTGCATTTAAGAATTTCCCAAGAAAAAAGAATCATGCTTCCTGTTTAGAAATTTGGCTATTAATAACTTCAGCATCCCTTGACATTTGCCATGTAGGTTATTTTTCTCCTCTGGGAATGTAGTTTGGAGAGTAAGTTGTTTTGTTTTTTAAGTTTTCTGTTTTTCTTTAATAAAAATATCACACACCCTAATTAGTGAAAAGTAAATCAATTCTATTAAGACCTCTAGGGCTACTCCCCAAAATCAATCACTGTTAATCATTTCTGGTGTGTCATTTAGAAATTTTCTATATAGGCATATATATATGTAAATGTAATGGATGAATATGTATATTGTTTTTTAAATACAAATGAGAACTTACTAGATATGCTATCTTTAAATTTGCTTTTTTATTTAATACTAGTAGCCCTGCGCACAAATCCATGAGTAAGTAGCTTGCTGCTGCTTGCCTCAGCTGGCCACCTGCCCACCACAGCTAGTAGCTCCCCGCTGCTCATAGCTTACAGCCTGATGCCTCGCCCTCCTGTAGCTCTCCACCCACTGCCCCATCTTCCTGTAGGTCTTCTCCCACTGCCCCGCCCTCCTGTAACTCTCCACCACTTGTAGATTGGTCTTTACGTTACAGCATAAGGATAATTAGCATATTTCTCTCTTATTTTATAGGATGCCTTGTACAGCTTTCAATGTCAGTACATATAAATCTAACACATGTAAGGATATATCACACTTTACTAAACAATCCTCTGAATAGATAGCTGGGTTTGTCCCAGTTTTCACAATAACAAACAATGCACAACAAATATCCTGTGCAGGTAGGACGACTTCCCAGAAGTGAAGTTGCTAAGAGCATTTTGAATTTTAACAAGTAGTACCTGCAATTTACATGACAACATTCGTGTATAACATCTAGGTTTTTTTTTTTCACGTCTTTGCCAACACTGGATATGTCAAAATTTTAATCCTTGCCAGTGAGATAGGTTAAAGAATGATGTTTATGGTTGTTGGCTGGGTTTTGGTATTGCAGAATGTTTTAACTTATGTAGTCAATTCTTGCTTTATGGCCTCTGGATTTTCTATCAGACTTGGAAAGATTTTTCCCACACTGAGAGTATAAAATATTTAGCCAAGTTTTCTTTAGCACTTCTATATGCTCAATTTTATGTTTGAATCTTTGATCAATCTGAAATTTATTTTGGTGTAAAGAAGAAGGTATTGATCCAACTTCACTCTGATTGCTTGCTGGGAAATTGTGGTGGCAGGGAGCCAAGGATTCCCCAGAACTAAAGAAGACATCTCTTGCGGCAGATGTTCTTTTTTGTCGGGCCATATTCACAAGCTGTCCTAGACCCCCTGAAAGAGACATCTAAGATGTGGAAATAAAAATCTGTGTACAGAGTGAGGGATGCCCAAACAGCATTGGGTGATGTCAAAACAGCAGTCTTGGCAAGGAAATGATGGCTCTGTTTCCCTCCACAGAATGGTCTCAGTTTTGACTGGTCAGATGGCACCAAATCCTCCTTCACTTTTTGGAAAGAGGATGAGTCATCCTTGCTGGGTGACTGTGTTTTTGCTGACACCAATGGGTGCTGGAGTAGCACAGCCTGTGAGACATTTCTGCAAGGAGCCATCTGTCATGTACCTACTGGTAGGTTCAATTCTCTTCAACTAAAAACATAGGTACTGTGCACCTACTGTACGCAAGGCAGTGTGCTAAGCAGGAAGAGCTATGAGGAAAAGGAGTAACGAGTTTCTGCCTCAAGAAGCCTTTGGTCTGGTAGGTGAGGTACAGACAAATAACTGTTATACAAGGCAGGGCTACCAACCAAATAGGAGAGGTAGCAAGTGCTGTGGAGGTTAGCAAGAAAAAAAAAATCACATCATATCCACTTGGAGAACATAGAAAGACTTCTTGAAGGACTTGACTGAAGAGATTTCTTTTGAAGAATGGGTGGGATGTAAATGAGGCAATGATGGGACATTTTGAGCAGAAAAGGTTGGGCAAAGACAGGGAAGGAAGGAAGGACTGAGCATGTATAGGGCAAAGCTGATATTGAGATTTTCCTGCATCACAAATTATAGTTAAGAGAGATGTATGGAATCAGCTAGGAAAGTGGGTTAGGAGAATGGACGACCTTGAATGCCACACTGAGGATTTATGTTTAGGTCAACAACGATTTGGATTCTAGAGTTATTGTGATAATAATGGCAATTATATTTATGTCTATATCACATATATATATTTAAATGTTAAGATGATAATAACATCTCATTATACTTAAAGTTCACCTGGATGAAACAAATTCAGAACATTAAAAAGCTTCTTGAAGATCTCACAGATGTCCATCAACAGCCCCAGTAGTAGCAGACAAGTTTCCTTGCCTTCTGGTGTGATGTGTCTCCCATCACACCAGACCCTCGCTCCCTTGATTGCTGCGGTGTACCTAGAGTTCCTTAATACCAGTTGGGCTCTTTTTTAATCTCTCATTTAGTAAAAGTGCATTTTCTTTTTACATTCTGGATATTATAAGTCAAGTAGCATGCACATTATGTAACTTCAGATTCAAAATAATTCAGGATAATAGTCATACTTTGGAAAAGCCACTTCTGCTTCTAAAACACCACAAGAGCTAGCCTTCTCTTTCAACATCACTGCATTTATTGAGTGCTTTAGAAGCATCAGGCACTATCTCACTTATACTTCTCAAGCTGTAAGAAAGATGTTATTGTTAGATTTCTTTTGTAGACAAAGAAACCAAAGTATAGGGAGGTTACATATCAGGCCTAAAGCCACCTACCTAGGATCTCAGCATGATGTGTCTGACTCTTGTGCTTGCCCTTTGAATCAAAGTCCACCCCAAAATTCCCTGTGTTATGTGATGTGATGTTATATGATACACAATTTAATGCATTATTTTCTCTAGTAGGTTTATTAGCAGGTAAGGATTTGCTAAATCTATAATATTCAGCACTGCATGTAATAAATTTTATACATTGCCTTTGGAATTGCCTCTTGCAAGTTTCATTCAGCTGCCAGTATTCCTAAGAATCATATCCCTCAATGTGAGACTAATGGTAAACATGAACGTCAGCCACCTCACCCAGGGTAAGCCTCTATACCCTGTTATGTGTAGGTAAAGGTTATTTCTGCTAGAAATGCTATAAACTGGTCCTAGTTTTGTAATCATGTATATTAAACCACTCTTCAAACTATTACCATGAAAATCTCATTACATATATTTATCTTGGTCTTTCATAGAATGTAATGCGATATTCATCCCAACTCAGTCACCACACTGAAATCATGACTGATTTTTGTTTATAGAAACAAGACCATTTGGACATCCAGAGCTGTGTTCTGAAACATCTATTCCTTGGATAAAATTCAAAAGTAATTGCTACAGTTTTTCTACAGTCCTAGACAGCATGAGTTTTGAAGCTGCTCATGAATTTTGCAAAAAGGAAGGTAATTCTTTTGTGATGGTAACATACTTTCAATGTGTTCCTTCTTTTTTTTTAATTTATTTTTATTTTTGAGAGTATTATAGATGTCCCCCTGTATTCCCCTTATATCCCCTCCACCCATGCCCGCCCCACCCCAGGCCCTCACCACACTATTGTCTGGGACCATGGGCTATGTCAATGTGTTCTTTCATGATATTTTATTAAACAATCTAATTTTTTGTCTCATGATTTAGTGATTTTAACAGCAATAAAAAATACTGGAAAAATAAATTGTATTACATTTATTTAAAGTATGGCTAAATATATGAAACTAAAGGCCTGGCGCATGAATACATGCACGAGTGGGTTCCCTCAGCCCAGCCTGAGCCTTCCTGAAGTCCGGGACTCCTCGGGGGATATCGGACATTTTTCTCGCAGTCCAGGGCTCTTGCAGTCCGGGATCCTTGCTCCTTATCGCCTGCCTGCAACAGAGCGGGGAGAGACTCCCACCACTGCCATTGCACTTGCCAGCCATGAGCCCGGCCTCTGGCTGAGCAGGGCTCCCCCTGTGGGAGGGCACTGACCACCAGGGGCAGCTCCTGCATTGAGCGTCTGACCCCTGGTGTTCAGTGCACATCATAGCAAGCAATTGAGCAGCCTTAGTATATCATTAACATATTATGCTTTGATTGGTTGAATGGCTGACCAGTAGACCACACAGTTAGCATATTAGACTTTTATTATATAGGATTAAATGTCCAGTATAAAACTTTAAAACTTAAGATGATTTCTCAGAATACTGTACTCCCCCCAAATAAAATGTTCTTTTTGAATGCTTTTGAATTACAGATTTTTTTATGTTCCCTAAAATTAATACTCTATGCTTTTACTTCTGAGATTAAAACTTATATCTCTTAATAAATGTGGTTTTGCTTTAACATTTTTCACCAAAAATCAGTTACATACACTGCAAATTTTCACTTTTCAAAGCCTGAGCTTTACAAATTGTGGTATGGGAAACATTTTTAAAATTGTATTTACATGTAAACACAAGTACTTGTTCATTTGCTGTTTGTCTTTCACAGGATCTAATCTTTTGACAATCAAGGATGAGGCTGAAAATTCATTTCTCCTAGAAGAGCTTTCTGTTTTTGTTTCTTCTGTCCGGATGGTTTGGTTGAATGTTCAGTTTAACGATGACAGTAAGTAATTGGTATAGAAAAGAGGAGAGCATAAACAAGCACATGGTGATCAAGGTTCATGAAAATGGTCTCTACAAACCAGAAAACTCTCCTTGGATAGATTTGCTGTGAAAAATAGCACACGTGTTAAAGCCGTTAAAAAAAAAAAATAGCATTGCTAACCTTTTCTCTATACTATCCTATGAAATAATCCCAAATGAAAACAAACAAATGAGTTTATGTACATGAAGATGCTTGACTGGAACTTTATGTTCACAGACTGAGTCATAGACACCAAAACCATATTCATTTGAAAATACTCCAGGTTTCTGAGTGTTAAAAAGCACAGTAGAGTGTAATGGTAACATTTGGTAAGCAATCTAAATTTTTGTCTAATAATTTAGTAATTTTAGCAGTAATAAAAATATTGAAAAAATAAATAGTATTAAATTTGTTTAATCTTTCATTGATGAATTATACTATTAGAATTATTTGCTACCCATAACAACCAAAGTTTATATTCAAATGAGAGCATAGTGTTCTTTCCTTTCTTTAAATGATGGTTATTGAAAGTACATGTCAATACAATTATTTTAAGTGGTATGGACAGCTTAGATCCTATAAAACAAGTGGTATATCGAAGTAGAGGGTGGGTCTACCTTGGCAAGCTGTATTATTTCAATCACTGACAGAATTTCTAGCACATGGAGATAAAAAGCTGACTGACTTTTAGTTAGTCTTATTGTTGATTTTAAATCCTTTTCAGACAATGCACCCCTTCATTTCCTATACATTGATGGACTCTTCTATGGCCCCACCCTTCGGTATACTCCTGGCTTGCTATTTAAAGAAACTCACTGTAAAATTCTTTTAGAAAGTGAGCCATTTTGTAATGACATAGATGTTAGGACTTCAAGAGAATTTTTTTCTATGTTATTAGTTTAGTTTATTAAATGATTTCTTTAAGATGCTTGTAATGATAAGAAATATTTCAAAACTCAAACTTAAGTTAGCAAATATGAAATCCTCGGTGAACTAAATTGGAACTGAATTAAAATGAATCGGGAGTTGTTCACAAGGTGAGTTCATAACTGTACTTACTGAGTTAAAAAGCACCAGATAAGGAGAGAATTTCATTAAATTTAGGGGCTGCTTTTTATGGTTCATTCCAGTCTTCGTAGGTTAGATAACCAAGGCCACTTTTAAATTGGCAATTTTTCCACAGATAAAACCATGAAGTGGTTTGATGGAACTCCCACAGAGCAGTCAAACTGGGGCATTCGGAAGCCAGAGATGGACCACATCAAGCCTCCTCTGTGTGTTGCCCTGAGGATCCCCGAAGGAGTGTGGCAGTTATCCCCATGTCAAGAAAAAAAAGGATTTATTTGTAAACTGGAGCCAGGTGGGTAAAGTCAGAGGGTGATTCTTCATTTTGATTCCAGCCTATGTAATGTGGACCCACTAGCATCGAAAGCTTTTAAAATCCAAATATTCAGGAAGTACTCGAATATATTTTACTCACATTTTTATTGCAAACAAAATGCACAGTGCTGAGACTGAAAGGGAATTATTTGGCTTTAAAAAAGGCATTGTATATGTTAGTAAGCACCAACAATATTTACTGTAAATCAGGGGTCAGCAAACTTCTCCTGTAAAGGGCCAGATAGAACAATTTCAGGCTCCGGGAGCCATATGGTCTCTATCTTGCTTCCACTGTAGCATGAAGACAGCCACACACAATGCAGAAATGAAATGTGGCTGAATTCCAATGAAACATCAATACTAATAAAAGCATAATATGCTCATTAGACTGGACAGCCAAATGACTTTCTGGACAAAGCCACGGTGGCAGGGGCAGAGCAGAGGCAGTTAGAGGCAATCAGGCAGGCAGAGTGGTTAGGGGCAATCAGGCAGGCAGTCAGGCAAGCGATTAGGAGCCATTGCCCCCGGATTGTGAGAGGGTGCAGGCCGAGCTGAACACCTCTCCCCTGCACAAATTTTGTGCACCAGGCCTCTAGTTACTTATAAAAACAGAAGCCCAGATTTAACCCATGGGCCATAGTTTGCTGAGCCCCGCTACAAATAATGACACCATTTTGCTGACTTAAGAGAAAAACTTCATCTCATTTTCTTTTGTATTTAATTTTAGATATTCATGTGGCAAAGGAACATCCAGGAAAAGGTATGTTTGGAGCAGTAGAGAACATTTTTATTTTTCTTAGAAATAATAAAATAGAAAGTAACTATGTGAGAGTGTCTATTGTACTTCATTGCCATTGAAGTTTTCCCTTTTTTTCATCTTCTTTCAGGACCAAGTCACAGCATCGTACCATTGGCAGTAGCTCTGACACTGATAGCAATTCTAGCCATTTCCACACTTGCCTTCTGCATAAACAAGCACAGCAGTGGTGCCTTCAGGAGGCTCCTGGAGTTTCGGAACCCTTACTATCCCACAACCAACTTCAGTACAGCACATTTGGAAGAAAATATTCTCATTTCGGATCTTGAGAACAATGACCAACAGCAATGAAGCCAGAGAAAGCCACAGTCATGAGGACAAGTAAAGACCGCAAGGAGAGCCTCATCTGTATTTTTCTTTACAGACCAGATGCCATTATACTGTGAATTGTGTCGCTAAAAGTGATAATCTCAAAGTGAATTGTAACCAAATTAGATGGGTGTTGATTTATTCATTTCCCATACCTGTGATCTATTCTTTCAAAGGGGAAATTACACAATGGTTATTATTCTGAAAACAAGAACTATTAAAAGAAGCACCCTCTCGAAAACTCTCAAACCAACGTTAATAGCAGTTTTTGCATTACTAGGTTTCTACCAAATATTTTTGGGGGAATTTTAAAACTCAGCTATTTAGACATTTACCCACTTTCATTCCATGAAAAAAGAGGAAGCAAAACAAAATGTAAAACCGTATACTTGTATGTGATTGGAAAAGGAAAAACCTTCTGAGAGGTTTCTTCTTTGTTTGTAATGCAATCTTTTTAATTCAATCAGTTTTAACAGCAGGGTTTGGAAAATACTGATGTGTAAGCTTAAAAGTGATAGGTTCTGGGCTCTAAACTAAAATTTAGGGTGACTCATTTTTATTATTTTGATTTCTCAAACTAAAGGAAAAGAAAATTTACTTTTCCTTAAATAGTAAAATCTTGGTTAGCAGCATGCTTTCATAAACAACCACACAATGTGGCCCAAAATATTCCATTATTAAATGATGACTAAGTTCGATAGTTAAAAATATCTTAGAGATAAGCTTAAAAGAAATTTATTGAGATCTTAATTCTATTAAAACTCATGGGTTTTATTAAAAACTAAAGGTATAAAATAATATTTAACACTCCTAACAACCAAAAAGATGTTGAATGTAACTTGAATTTAAATGGGAAAAATTGAAGATCTGAATTATATTTCCATTGGAACCAGACTCAAGAATATGTTGAGCAGCACTAAATAAGTTATTCTCCAGCAGTAATCTAAACCCCTTTGCTATTTAAGGGAGTGTATTTGGAGTGTTCTCTTTAGTAAACTGTAGTTCCGGGGAACCAACTCCATTGTGTTGAACTAGTAAGTGCAGTAGGTAAATAATGATTAAAAACATGTACTGTCTGTATATTTAAAATTACTGATTTTATCTTCCTTCATTAACTTCTTATAAAGAAACATGACTTCACCATCAATATTTAAGAGTTTACTCAGTCCATAAATGTTTATTGAATTCCTATTAAGAACCAAGAGCTATTCTACAAACTGGAGATACTGGGGTAAGCAGGTCCATGAGATCTCTGTTTTCAGGGCACTTCTTTTCTAATGAAGGAAAATGGGCAGTAAACCAGTAAAGAAATACAGGAGCAGAAAATAGCAGTTGGTTATGAATATTAAGTAAGGTTCCATGATAGAGAAAAACTGGGGGTTATCAGGGTTTCCCTAGGGTGTGCATTTTTTTCTTTTTTAAAAAATTTATTGATTTTTTACAGAGAGGAAGAGAGAGGGATAGAGTTAGAAACATTGATGAGAGAGAATCATCAATCAGCTGCCTCCTGCAGACCCCCAACTGGGGATGTGCCCACAAACAAGGTACATGCCCTTGACCGGAATCGAACCTGGGACCATTCAGTCCGCAGGCCGATGCTCTATTCACTGAGCCAAACTGGTTCAGCTAGAGTGTGCATTTTAGTTATTACCACCAACTGCCTCAAAGCTGGTGGTCACTAGTCACAAGGTGGAGCTCTGGGAGAAGGTACAAATATGTTTCTCAGTGGCAAACCATCATCATTAGAAGTACAATCTGAAGAGCATGCCCTCGGAATGAAGACTCCATAGCTTGAAACAGTAAATACAGCTTCCCAAAGCAGCTCTTTGCTACTGTTTTGTGTGTGTAGTTTACACACTGGAGCAATCAGCTTCCATAATTTTTGTAAGTTTTAAGACTTTATTTTCTTAAGATATTATATTATGTGACAGTTGTATATTTATAACGCAAAAGAATGATTGTCAAAACCAAATAGTATAAAAGCCCAATTTAACAATCTATCAAGTGAAATTAGAGTTCTGTTCTGGTCTTTTCAGTGGACTTGGTAAAAAAAAAAAAAAAAAAAAAAAATGCTAATCAATTATCCTTCCAGTCAAGCTATGTTGAAGTGGAACAATCACACAAAACAGTTTGACCAAATATGTCATTCATAAACTAGTTCTGCAGAAAGAAACTGTACTGCTTGTCAATGCTCTGTACTTTGATATTGAACCACATCCCAGGAGACTCTGTCCCCATGGACAGATCATTCAGTCCTTCACAATACTGCAAGTTCAGAAATAGAAAGTACAGAAGTAGTCTGTTTTATGCATATATGTGCACTTTAATAAACATTTTTCCATATCAATTTTAATCTGAACTTGATTTCACAGCTATAGTCTGAAAAGAAAAAAGTAGCAGTGTTGCAAACACATTTATGTATAATTAATGTGCCCCTTCCAAAAAAAAAAAAATCAGTTATTTTCTATGACTCTAGATAATGGAAAATCTTGCATTTTTCTTGTTAAGTCCAATGGTTCTTCCCATCCCAGCAGTTTTCTTGCAGTTTAAATGTTTCTTCTATTGAAAGGTCCCCTCCCTATCAAGCATGGATTAGTTGGTGTCTTTAGATAAAGGTCCAGTCTTTTGGAGTTTCCTTTCTTTCCTCCAAACGATGGATGGACATATGAGAACTTGGTGTGTCCTTGCAGTACTGGGGGAGAAGGTGATAACTGGCTGAGAATGTGTGTTACCTGGTGTCCACTGAAGGTAGTTGTTTGACCCCACTCTTGGGAATCCTGCTGAAATCTACCCTGAAGTCTGTAGTTGGTGCAACCTGTGGTCTAGTCTCTTTGATTTGGCCCCATCCCGCCTCTTTCTGGCACCACCTAATCCTGGGAGAATTGGTTGTGACTCCCATCCAATTTCCTGCCTGGACATTGCATTTCTTGGCTAGAAGGCTATTTCATCCCTGCAGTAGTGAGACTCTATCCAGCACCATCTGCTATTCTGTTAATCAGGGGAGGCTACCTGCTGTAACAAACAATCCCAAAGTCCTGGTGGTTTAACAAGCAAAGGTTCATTCCTCCTCCACACCGAAGTGAGCTTGTAGGGGGACTTGGTTTCATTCAGTTATTGGCAAGTCCCAGTTCTTCCCTAGTCAGGCCTCCATCTCCTAAAGCCTTGGAGTCTTCCGTGGGTCTCCTGCCTTTGAAGAAGTTAACTTGGATACAGGTCTGATTGATTATGTACCTAAGCCTTCAAACTGAGGACACATACCCTGAAGGTACATAAAGGTACATAAAGATTTCCAAGGGACAGAGGGGCATGAGTATTTTTAAGGAGCTTAGTTTCCAGAACCTTTAACCTTCATACAACCTTTCTTAGGACTGGTTGCGTGAGAACACCCTGAGATTATGGTGTCATACTGATTCTTAGTTCCTACATCTCTTGACACAATGCTTGTCTTGAGCTTTAAAAAAAAAAAAAAAAAAAAAAAAAAAAAAAAATGACATGGCTTTTACCCCAAATCATACTGTGATCCTTCACTTTGGGGAAGCCTCCCTGGCACCAAAGGAAAATGTTCGAAGTAAAGATGTCAGTGCAGCATCTTTATAATCAAGGATTTATAAACCCAGTGCACGGCCTCATGGGCTCCCTGTGTCCATACATTTTTCTGTTAAGGGTAAAGTGTTGAGTTAGCAATTCCATGTTGGGATATTCTAAGTTAATATGCATTGTATAGTGGAACATCAGAGATGATAACCACTTTGCTTAAGACTATTTCATCCAGCCCCTGGAAAGAAAATCTGGTGAAAGTAGGAGGGTGTAGATTTTGATAAGAATCTAATGTCTTAACTTTATCCTGGTAAAAAGCTCATGACAGAGCTCTTAGATTTATCTATCTTAGATTTCTAAGGATGAGTAGTAGCATACTTGTTGAGTTGAAAAAGAAAATCAGACTTTTTCTGAACATTGTCTTATTTGGCTCACGGTTTTGACAATGAAAAGTGGCCTTACCAATTAAGTTTTTATGATGAATATTTCTTATTAGTTGAATAAACTAAATTTGCAACTCTACTGTTCTGATTAAAGTACTTATTAAGATAAAGACATTTTAATTTTAAAAAAGTATTTATTGAAGTGTAATGAAATTAACAATATTTCATTTTTCCCAACCTTACCTTGTATATCAGATAAAATAAAGTGTCTATAAATGAAAGAATAGCATGCATAATTAATAGTCATTTGAAAGATCTTACTAATGTCTTTTAATTTTACATCTAGGAAATTAACAGACAGTTAATCATTCTAATGATTGGGTAGCAAATTCTTTTGCAAATCGAGTGTTTCCAGTTTTTTACTTTAAGCAAAATTCAAGAAGAACATAATCAAATTGTCAGTTGAAAGATGATTAAAATAATTTTTAATGTATGATCACTGTGATTTTTGGCATATATGAGAAAATAATTTGAATAATAAAGTTATCCTAATATATAAAAACCCAGGGTCCATAACGTCCAAAATGACCAAAGACTTGACCGACCAGAAGTCAGTGCTGGATTGCCATGGCGACCCAGCACTAACTGCCAAGGGGGCTGTGGATCAGGCCTGAAGAGAGGCCTGGAGAGAGAAGCAGGGTCTGGTCCACCTCTGTGGCAGCTGTTGATCAGCCCTCGCCTCTCTGTTTCTCTGGGGGCCTGGCCAGCAGCTGTGCCTCTCTTTCTCTCAGACCTCTGCTGCGGCTGCTGACCAGCCCCACCTCTCTGATAAGGCCCGTGGATAGGCCCAGAGATGCTGACTGGCATAGAAACTGACAATCAGTACCAAATCTGGGAGAAGTGTGAATAGCCAATGGCTGCATAGGAGGTGTAGCTTTAGATGCTGACTGGTATAGAAACCGACCAATCAGAACCAAATCTGGGTTAACTACAAAGGCAGAACCTAAGATGGGAGCTGAGGAAGGATTTTTAAGGGCAACATCTATTTGGTGTAAGGTGTAAGAAAGTGGTTCAATTTTTTTAATGACCAGTTTGGCAGTATAGTGCATATGGCTGGCTATCAGTCCAAATATAGGGACTATGTATTTTTGTCTGCCAAGAGCATCTCCTCTGATGAAAATGGCTCCTCCCTCTCCCCCCCGCATTTAAGCAAACCTATCCTATATAATCTATCAATACTACTAAAAGGGTAACATGCTAATTAGACTGGGTCAACCGGCCATCTTTTGGACATCCAACTCCTCCCAGACAAAGCCACGGTGGTGGGGGTCAAGGCAGAGGCCGTTAGGGGCTATCAGGCTGGCAGGGGAGGGCAGGTTGGGGCAAGATCAGGTCTGCAGGTGAGGGCAGTTGGGGGTGGGGGGGAGATCAGGCCGGCAGGGGAGGGCAATTAGAGGAAATCAGGCAGGCAGTGGGGTTAGGAGCAATCAGGCAGGCAAGCAGACACAGTTAGGAGTGATCAGGCAGGCAGGCAGGTGAGCAGTTAGGAACCAGCAGTCCCAGATTGAGAGAGGAATGTGTGTGTGTGTGTGTGTGTGTGTGTGTGTGTGTGTGTGTGTGGTTTTTTTTTTCTATTTTAAAATAAATTAAGATAAAAATTCAAATTGTTTTGGTACCTCCAATAAAAAAAAAAAAAAGCATACACAAAAATACCCACAAAATGAGTCCCATGCATACCAGTGACCTTCTTTATTCAGAGTTAATTAACACAAGCACTTGCTTCTCGCAGAGCACTTTGCTGTAATTTAGAACAAATTAAGGGGAAAATAATTCAAGTGCTGTTTTCTTCACACCATGAAGTGAGCATGATGGGCCAAAGTTAACTCATTTAAAATACTGTCATCCATTTCTTGTAATTATGAGTAGCAATACCATTATATTTTTTTTGGGGGGTGGGGGGGAAGACATCCTGATCTATGTTATTTTCAGTTTGTTTCCTGTGCTTCTATTTAATAATGGAAATTGATTTTTAAAACTAATATAACATGCTCTTTCATTTCTCCCATTAAGTCTCTCATTTACGTTAAATTCAAGCATTGCACATTTTCCAGAGTATTTTTTCACATAAATATATTTTGAATTTAATATGGCAAATTATTAAAAGACTATATTAATATTGTCTCTTGTCCCTCCCCCAACTCTGAAATTGTGACTTTATTATTATTTCCATATGATGATTTGTGAATTAACCTGAGCTTATTCAGCCTCAGTTTAGGAGGTCATGTCCCCAGGAGATTATTTAAAATTTCTCTACCATTTTAGACAGTAGAATTTGGTAGGAGCTGGAAACCCAACTTAAATATGTAGAAATCAGCCCGTCTCTTGTTCCTATAGACTCTGGGGTGTAGGAGAGACCCATAACTACAAGGAGAGCCAGGGAAAACACT